GGGGCGGGGCTGAGTGGCACTGCAGAGGGATTTGTGCTCCCGGTCCTCAGGCGTCCCAGGGGAGGGGTGCGGCGTCCCTGGGCCTGGGTACTGGGCCTGGGCTCACGACCGCTGAGGCCCCTCGAGGCCTGCACTTATTTTAGAGGCACACAGAGAGAGCCCCCCAGTGGCAGCCGTGCAGCGGCTGGGCGGGGCCGGGGCCGGGCGCCCAGTCTGGTCTCCCAGTGGAGGCCGGGACCTGAGTACCTGCGCTGTCCCTGCTGCCTCCCGGGCATGGACCTGGGCATGGAGCTCAGGCACACGGGGTGGGGAGGGGTGGCACCACAGTGCCGGCCCCTTAAAAAGTCTTTCAAATCGAGACGTATTTCACACATTATAGGCTCCCCCCATTTAAAGTGTACAACTCAGGGGTGGCCCAGTGCTGTGGTGTAGCGGGTAAAGCCACCACCGCAGTGCCAGCTTCCCATGTGGGCACCAGTTCGAGTCCTGGCTGCTCCACTTCCGATCCAGCTCCCGGCTAATGGCCTGGGAAGGCAGCAGAGGACGGGCCTGGTGCCTGGGCCCCTGCACCCACGCGGGAGACCTGGAAGAAGCTCCTGGCTCCTGGCTTCAGCCTGGCCCAGCCCCCACCATTGCAGCCATTTGGGGATGGAAGATCTCTTGCTCTCGCTCTCCCGCTCTCCTTCTCTCTCTGTAACCCTGCCTCCCAAATAAATACAAAATAAATCTTTTTCTAATGTACCACTGGGATGGGGGTGGCCCGGCCGCTAAGGAGCTAACTACATCCTGGTCCCGCAGCCTGTGCTGGCACCTGTGGGGCTGGGGGACTTGACAAAGCCCAGCCCTGGCCCTGGCAGGCATTCGGGAAATGAAACCAGGGGTGGAAGATCTGTCACTGTGCCTTCCCAATAAATAAAGAGAAAGAAAAATTAAGAAAATTATGGTGTATAACTGAGTTAAAAATTGCTTTATTTCAAAGGCAGAGGGACAGAGAGAGAGAGAGAGGTCTCCACCTGCTGGTTCACTCCCCAGATGGCCACTACAGCTGAGGCTGGGCCAGGCCTAGGGCTGGAGCCCAGAACGCCCCGGGTCCCCCACGGGGGCAGGGCCCAGGCACCCGGGCCTCCTCGCCTGCTTCCCCGGCCGGCGGTGAGCAGGGCGCGGGGTGCGCACAGAATCTGGGACGAAGGCGGCCGCTTCCCCGAGCTCTGCGTTGGCTCCCAGCGGGTCACAGGAGACCCCCGCCCGTGCCCCGCACCCGCGGCCGCTTCTCCCCGCATGTAAATTACACCGATCTTGGGGATCTGAACGATAAACGCAGGATTCTCTCAGGCTGGGTTACAGTGCGGGGCGCAGCCCCAGAGGGACGGGGCTGGGCACAGGGTGCCAGGTCACTGTCCCGCTGACCAGTCTCTGGGGCCAGTGCCCGCTGGGGTACCCGCACTTGCCCAAGCCGCAGCTGACTGCCCCGAGCCCCCTCTCCACCTGGCGGTGCAGCCCAGGCCTCGCGCACCGAGTGTCCCCACGCGGGACCCTCTTCACCTTGGGCAGCGTCCAGTTTCTGCGAGGCTGCCTCAGGTCGGCCGGGTGGCCCATACCGATCCTGCGCCGGGGCCCCGACCGGCCCCGCTGCGTCCACCTAACGTGGGCCCTGGGCTCCGAGGGCCTGGCTGGGGGGCGCAGCGCCGGCCGTGGCCACGGGGCGGCAGCACAGCCTCGCTGCGGGTTCCCGGGCCACCGCGCCCGCCGAAGCCACCGCTGCGCCCAGCACTGGGGAGCCCAGGATGTGCGCGCGTGGGCGGCGACAGAGTGGCCAGACTCCGGGCGGAGCCCAGGGCCCGGCACGGGGCGTTCAGAGACCTCCGTCCCTCCCCCTGGACCCGCGGAGCAGCGCCTGCTGGGCACCCGGGTCCGGGGCAGCGGGCGCCGGCCCCAGGCCCGCGTGGCTCGCGGACTCCCGGCAGCTGGCCCCGCACGGCCCGAACGGCGTGAATGCCAAGATGGGCCATTGTGCGCACCCGCCCCCCGCCACGCCGAGCCCCACGGGCCGCCGGCGCCCCCTCCCAGCTTCATTAGCATAGCAGCTGCCAGCCGGGCGGGACCTGCGCGGGGGCCGGGGCCGGGCGGGCGGCCGCGCGCATGCGCGGAAGGACTGCGGGGCGGAAGAACGCGTCCTGCCCGGGCCGGCCGTGCGGGATCGCGGCCACCTGCAGCCCCTGGCGTCCGCGCCGAGCGCCCTGGGCACCCTCGCGCTAGACCTCAGCCTCGTCCCCGCCGTCCTGGGCGCGGGGCCCCTCTCCTGCCCTCCCAGGCGCGGGTGGATGCGGCTTCCCCGCCGCAGGCTCCGGGGCGGAGGGCGGACGGGACAGCGCCTCCCGGGCCGCGAGTCCTGCCTGCGCTCGCCCCGGGCCCCGCTCGGCTCCCGCGCCTGCTGCACATCACCGTCTTCCCGCACTTCCTGGAGTCCCTGCGGTCTCGGTTCCAACAGCAAATGCCTCCCGCGGCCAGCGGCGGCCAGATGAGCGCTGGACACTTGGACGGGAGCCGTGCACCTCTGGCCAGGCAGTGGGTCCATTCTGTCTACTTCGTGGGGGCCACCCCAGGGATTCCACCTGCAGCAGCACTGCACCCTGGGTCTCCTGGTGTCCCCCCTGATCACCTGTGTCCCCACCTGCACACCTGTGTCCCCCCAATCACCTGTGTCCCCCTGCACACCTGTGTCCCCCCAATCACCTGTGTCCCCACCTGCACACCTGTGTCCCCCCTGCTCACCTGTGTCCCCACCTGCACACCTGTGTCCCCCCAATCACCTGTGTCCCCACCTGCACTCCTGTGTCCCCCACTCACCTGTGTCCCCCCTGCACACCTGTGTCCCCCCAATCACCTGTGTCCCCCCTGCACACCTGTGTCCCCCACTCACCTGTGTCCCCCCTGCACACCTGTGTCCCCACCTGCACTCCTGTGTCCCCCACTCACCTGTGTCCCCACCTGCACACCTGTGTCCCCCCTGCTCACCTGTGTCCCCCCTGCACACCTGTGTCCCCCCTGCACACCTGTGTCCCCACCTCACACCTCACACCCCCCCTGCACGCCTGTGTCCCCACCTGCACACCTGTGTCCCCACTCACCTGTCCCCACCTGCACTCCTGTGTCCCCTGCTCACCTGTGTCCCCCTTGTGCACCTGTCCCTCCCTGCACACCTGTGTCCCCCCTGCTCACCTGTGTCCCCCTGCTCACCTGTGTCCCCCTGTGCACCTGTCCCCCCTGCTCACCTGTGTCCCCCGCTCACCTGCTCACCTGTGTCCCCCCCGCTCACCTGTGTCCCCCCGCTCACCTGTGTCCCCCTGCTCACCTGTGTCCCCCTGTGCACCTGTCCCCCCTGCTCACCTGTGTCCCCCGCTCACCTGCTCACCTGTCCCCCCCACTCACCTGTGTCCCCCACTCACCTGTGTCCCCCGCTCACCTGCTCACCTGTCCCCCCCACTCACCTGTGTCCCCCACTCACCTGTGTCCCCCACTCACCTGTGTCCCCACCTGCTCACCTGTGTCCTCCCCATTCACCTGTGTCCCCCTGTGCACCTGTCCCCCGATCACCTGTCCCCCTGTGCACCTGTCCCCCTCCCCCGCTCACCTGCACGCTTGTGTCCCCCCCACTCACCTGTGTCCCCCACTCACCTGTGTCCCCCCTGCTCACCTGTGTCCCCCACTCACCTGTGTCCCCCCTGCTCACCTGTGTCCCCCACTCACCTGTGTCCCCCCTGCTCACCTGTGTCCCCCACTCACCTGTGTCCCCCTCACCTGTGTCCCCCTGTGCACCTGCCCCCCTCCCCCGCTCACCTGCGGCAGAGCAGAGGTAGTGTGGGCTCTGGCAGGCTTTTGCACCTTGGGCCTGGCTGGCCAGGAGGGTGGGGCCTCCTGTCCATGCCACTGACGGCAGTGACTGTGACCAGGAGGGTCCAGGGGGAGGCAGCCGGGCAGCTCGGACCTGGCCGTGGCTGGGAGCAGGGCCTGGCCTCTCTTTGTGCCCTCCCACAAGCAGCCCCCACCCCCGTGAGGTGGGTGCAGCTCCACCCTGCAGCCAGGGGTCCCAGTGGGCGCCCACCTCTGCCCAGCCAGCTCCCCTCTCCCCGGGGCTGCTGGCTCCTGGACGTGCCGCCCACACCCCCCAGGACAGGGCCGCTGCGGCCAGGCGTGCACCTTCACCCTGCCCCGTCTCTGGACGCTGGGGTGCAGCTGGGGCAGGGTGGCAGCACAGAGGGCCCGCCCAGCGCTGCAGTGCCTCACTGCTCTGGGGAAGCAGCGTCCAGAGGCCGCAGCACCCCGCGGTCCTCAGTCCCCTGCCTTTCAGCAGCCACACGCGGTCACCGGGGCAGTGACTCCCCCCGCGAGGGCTAGGAACAGCTCCTAGGGCGTCTGCATTCCAGGGGGACGGGGACCTGGGCAGCACAGGTGTGGCCCAGGCAAGACCCCACTCCCGGGCTCCCCAGGAGCGGCGCCGCGCCTGGCCGGCTGGGCAGCCCCCTCGTGGGACCCCAGGCCAGGGCGACGGGAAGCCCCCACGGGTGTGGAGGAAGCGTCCAGTGGAGCAAGGGTGCTGGCCCCCCTGCAGATCCTGAAGGCCCCCGGGGTGGGCCCCCCCCCCCCCGCTCTGATCTGCCCTGCACCCTCCCACAGGCCCCCTGCCGGGCTCCCCTGCCCTGACTGCTGGCCTGGGCTGGCTCCCCAGCTCCCAGGGGCCTCCTCCTGCACAGCAGGTGTCCAGTGCGGTGGGGGGGCACGAGGAGGGGCCCTCCCTCCCCAGGCCTGAGGCTCAGGCTTGCTGGGGAGCTGGAAAAGCCTTGGCAGCCGGCCCCCCAGGAGCAGGAAACAGGGCTGGTCCCGTTCCGGCTGGGACGTGGAGTGGGGTGCACCCGAGCCCAGCACCCCCAGCTGCACGTGGAGCGTGGCCCGCACCCCCGGGACTGGTGCCGAGAGACCACCAAGAGCCAGCAAAACCGTCCTTTAGTATAAAAAGATCAATGAAAAATTTATTTATAAACTTCTCCCGCTGGGCTACAAGTCTCTATCGTACACTTGGACCTCATCCAGTCAGCAGAGATGGCCCGCGAGCCCGGGCGGTCTGAACGTTAATTTCCGTAATTAGGGAGGGATTTGCAGCTAGGAAACTAACAACTCGGTCCGGAGCGGCCTGCTCCTGCGTGCGCTCCCGCACGGCGGCGGGGCCGTGGCCCGCCACGCGCAAAGGGCCTCCGCCCACCTGTGTCCTCGAGTGCTCCCCATTTTCGCGCGAAGGGTCAGCAGCACTTCCAAGAAGGGAAACCTCATTTAAATGTGAATAATTCAGCCTCTCTTTCTTTCCCGGGATCCCGACAACGAGGGGTGTGGGGTTGCATAGAACGAGGGGGCCCCGCCCCGCCCGGGTCCGCCCCTCCCCCACGGCGGGGCTTGCGGGCGCCGCTCGGGTCCGTGCGGCCGGCGCGGGCGATTCACAGTCTGGCAGGCATCTCACACAAATATAAATACGGGGACACTCGCTCGGCGGCGCGGGCCACGGCGCCCTCGCGGCCAGGGCCCAAGGACACCCGCAGACTCTGCTTAAAGGGTCAGCATTTTGCATTCCGTCATAAATGTTATGACACTTAACCGTGGCAAATCCATTCACTTTTTAAAAATTAAAAAAAAAAAAAAAAAAAGGCGTGCGACCGACCGTTCGCGGTCACGACCTCGCTGCGAGGGGCCGCCGCTGCCCGCACGAGCGAGCGCGCGGGACCGCGGGCGCGGGATTCAGTGCAACCGGAACGCAGTCGACTCAAGTTTTTAAGATCAGAAAACAAAACAAAACAAAACGGAAAACGCATCCTTCCCGCTCAGGACAGCATGGGCCACGCGCCCCGCGGGCCACGCACAGCGTTTTCCGAAGGAACGAACAGCGACAAAGACGAGCGCCAGGCGCGCAGACTTCACGCACAAACACACACACGCGATAAATAGCTGGGGACGCCCGCGGCGGGGTCTCGGAGGGGCAGCCGGCGACACTCGGACATCACGGGGGGGTGGGGGCAGACCGAGGTAGTTGGCGCGCAGGTACAGCAGAGGCGGCGGCACGGGCCCGGGTGCGGGTCCGGCGCGGGTCCGGCGCGGGCCCGGTCCTCCCTGGCCGCCCGCCGCGTACTTGGTCTCGGCGGTGAGCTACAGCACGGTGCTGCGGGCGCGCGCGTCCTCACCGGCCGCCCGCCGCGTACTTGGCCTTGGTGATGAGATACAGCGCGATGTCCTGGTGGCCGCCGAACGCCGCGATGTGCAGCGCGCTCCAGCCGTCGCGGTTGGCCAGGCGGATGTCCGCGCCGAACTTGACCAGCAGCTTGACCAGCTCGAGGTTCCCGTCCAGCACCGACTGGTGCAGTGCCGTCTGGCCCTCGGGCCCGAACGAGTTCACGTTGAACTCGCAGCTCGTCATGTTCTGCAGCAGAGACTGTAGCTCCTGCGTGTTGCCCCTGCGCACCGCCTCCTGGAAGACGCGCTGCGGCGGCGCCGCCGCGCAGGTGGACAGCTCGGCCTGGCTCATGCTGCCGGCCGCCGGCGGGCTGCGGGCGGGGCTGGCGGCGCGCCGCGGGGCATGGAGGGCGCGGCGCCCCCGGGGCCCCGCACGCCGCCGCGGGGCCCGCGCCGCATCCAGCCGCGCCCGGGCGCGCGGCGGCGGGGCAGGGCCCGGCCGGGGACGGCGGCGCCGCGCGGTCCCGCTCCCCGCTCGGCTCGGCTGAGGCTCCCACGCGGCTGCACGCGCGCCTCCCCCCGCGCCGCTGCGCTCGCTGGCCCGCCGCGCCCGGGCGCCCCCGGCGCCTTTATCTCCGCATAACAATGAGCGCCGTGACGCGCGCGCCGGCGGCGCGGGGGATTGGGCGGCGGGCGGGGGGCGGGGCGTGCCCGGGCGGCGCCGCGCCTCGCGGCAGGGGGCGCTGGTCGCGGGCGGCGCCGGGGCGGGGGCGGCCAGGTGGCCCCGGGGCGGGGGGGGGTCTCGGCTCCGCCACCGCCTGCGCCCGCCTCCTCTGGCCCGCGCGCCCCGGGGCCGTCCGCGCCTCTCCTTCCGGCCACCCCGGGAATTCCCAGCCTTCTGGGCAGCCAGATCCGGGACCCCGGGCGACCCCGAGAGGGCCCCTCCCGGGCGGGGGCGCGCGGGCCTCTTGGGCTTGGGAGGACCCTCTCCCGGGGAGGGGCGCGCGTCCACGCGGGTCCGCGGCGGCGAGGTGTTGGGAATCATGCTCTGGTCCGCCTGAGGCCCGGGCCGGCCTCCCTCCCCCCACCGCCCAGCCCCTGGCCGCCTGCGGGGGATCCCCCAGGCTCGGTCAGGTGGGCAGCCCAGGTGAGGAACCGGGGACTGCCCTGACCGGAGTTTTGGAGTGACCAACTAACAGCTGGCCGCAGGCGCGGAGTAGGAGGCAGCCACATTTCCTCATTAGGGTTTCGAAGTTTATAGCTCGCGTAGGGACTGGAAATTAAGGAGGAACGAGTCTCGCGCGGAGCAGGAGGGCCGGGCACGCCGGGACATGACTCCCTTCTGAGCCAGCCTGGGAATTCCCGGCTCGCGGCTCCCGGCCTGGGCCCCCCACGCCCCCATCGTCCTGCCCTGTGCTTGCGGAGGGGTCAGGGCTAAGGGACAGGAAACATCAGGCAGGTCCACTGGGAATGACCGTCTGTGACCAGCAGAACTCGTGGCTGGCTGGGACTGGACCACGCGCTCCCCGCGGGCCCCAGGGTGGCCGGCCAGCTTGCAGCAGCTTGGTCTTCCCGCGCTCAGGCCTGCGGCTCACTGTTTCTCTTGGGAGCCCCCCCGGGGGCCTCCCTGCTGTGTAGAGGGGACGCTGGAGCCACAGGGCGAGCCCAAGCCCAGTGGGGTCTCCCGAGCCTGTTCCACAGCTGGATCCTGGAAGCCGCCAGCACCTTTGTCCCCTAAGGGTGGGGAGCTTACTGCTGCCCACCGCTCCCTGCTGCTGGCTGGGCTGGGGACGTTGTCCTGGCCTCGAGCGGTGCCAGGGCGAGAGGGCAGGGGCTCCTTCCTGGTCCTTCCGGGTTCCGGCCGTGCCTGACTGGCAGGAGGCAGAGGCCGTGGCCAGGGACCAGGGAGCCCTGGCTCTCCCCAACCCCGGGGCTGCCCCCTGGGAGCTGGGTGGGTTCACACACAGGCCCCAGCCCAGGTGGGCTGCAGCCGGGCTTGGCGGTGGCAGAGCCGGGATCCGCAGCGGGCGGGCAGACAAAGGGGCCCTGTGTGAGCTCAGTGTGGGAACCCGAGGCGGCCGCCACGGGGCCGTGAAATCGGCGGCGGCCGGGAGAGGGCTGGGCGGCTCGGACGCCACTGGCAGGGACAGTGTGGCTGGCGTGGCCGCCCAGCCGCAGCAGGAGTCCACCCCGGGTCTGGAGTGGGGGTCAGGCAGAGACCACCAGACCTGCGCGCTCTGTGGCCCCGTGGAGCCACCACCCCATCCAGGAGTCTCACGGAGGGGGCTTGGGCTGGTACTGGCCCACCCTGGCTGGGAGGGTGGGATGGGCTGAGGGGCGTGGGGGCCCAGGGCCCACGGCAGCGCTTCCTGCTGTCTGCTGGACACATCCAAAAGGTGGACATCTGTTCCCCAAGCTGTGGGCGGGGGCGGTCCCGCACTAGGCTGCGAGGGCCCCTGCTGTGTTTGATGGCGCTGGCTCTCACAGACCAGACAGGAGAGGACGGCAGCGTTTGGCCTGGCTGTTAAGACCCCCACACTGGGGTGCCGGGTGCGGGGCATGGTCCCCAGCCCAGCTCTTGCCCTCAGCTTCCTGTGGGGCACACACTCCGGGAGGCTGCTGCTGGCTCGGGGGGCTGGGACCCTGCCGCTCACGTGGGAGACCTGGGTTGAGTTCCTGGCTCCTGGCTCCAGCCTCAGCCCTGCCTGGCCTTGGGCACTGGGGGAGTGAACCAGCAGATGGGATGCCCCTCTCTCTCTCCCTCCCTCCCTCTCTCATACAGAAGTAGAAATTAAAGAAGCACAGAAGATTTCGTGTGTGAGCCCACGCCTGGGTCTGGGGCTACGTGGCTGGCCCCTGCCCTTCCCCCCCTGCCCTCCACCCGGCCCCCCACTCCCAGGAGGTGAGGCTGGGGTCCCCTTCTCCCTCCGGGCGGCCAGGGCCCAATGCAGGTGAAGAGGCAGGGTGGGAGTATTCTGGGGCCCTGGCAGGGCAGTCTGGGTGGCCTGGGGGTGGCCAGTGCAGCTGGCCGGAGCAGGGCTGAGGCTTGTGGCCACCTTAAAGGCACTGCAGAGGCGGGAGGGGAGCGGGCAGTGGGAGGCGGGGCTTCCAACTAATTCATTAAAATGTGTCGGGGAGCGTGGGAAAGAGGAGCATGCGTGTTCCCAGCAGCCCTGACACCTGGTAGAAGGCCCCGAGAGGACAGGGATCAAATAACAAACACGATCCGGCCAGGGCCGGCAAAGGAAGGACGCCCCGCAGGAACTGCAGCAGACAAGCAGGCCGTGCTGGCCGCCGGGGTACGGCGGGCACCGGGGCCATGCCGGGCAGGGCCTGGTGTCTGTCCCCGAGCCGGCCCGGCGGCCACACTCTAATCCCCGAGCACCTGGACCCTGGGGCCTCGCAGCCAGGGCGGCAGGAGGGGGCCGGCCAGCGCAGCCCCTGCCCGGGAGGAGGGAGGACGCACGGCCTCCTGTTCTGCCTGCTGACCCGAGCGGGCTGCAGCCTCCGTCCTCAGCCAGGCAGGATGCAGCTGGAGCCCCTGGGCCACTTCCTTCTAACGTAGCAGGGGAGACGCGTGTTCAGGGGCGCGTGCCTCCTCAGGATGGGACAGCATGCTGGGGTCCTCTCCTAGAGGCAGCCTCCCCATTCTTGTCATGGGGTCCCCACCCCACTGGCTCTGTTCACCCCGAGGCCCAACAGGTCGGAGCCGGCGGTGACATGAGCGCCACTCGGCTCTCCGTCTCTGAGCCATCCCTCCACCTCTGTGAGACGGCACCCAGGCCGAGTTGCTGGGGACTGAAGGGGCTGGGGGCAGTGGCCAGCCCCGGTGTGGTTAGGGGCCAGCAGGGAGGCCGTTGCTGGGCTTGGTGGAGAGGGAGTGGGCAGGGGGAGCCCGGGGAGTCCTGCCTGAGGCCCGGGCACCTGGGGCGCGAGTGCTCCCCTCCCTGGGAGGTGCCCGCTCCTCCCTGGCCCCAGGCCCTGCGCTGGGTGCCTCGGTCAGATCTGAGCTGGTTTCCGCTCCAGGCAGGAAGCACAGGAAAAGGGATGTGAGTGAGGGGCGGGGCACATTCCTGGGGCCTGACGGGGAGGAGGGGGCTGCACAGCGCGTCTGGGCCCAGGCTGGCCGCTTGCAGAAGCCCTCGCCCCTGCTCTGCCTGGCACCAGCTGCCCTGGACCAGGGCAGTGGCAGCCGCTGGCGGGCAGTTGAGGGAGCAGGTGTCGGTGCCCACAGGGGCGCCCTGGCGGCGCCACGGCCCAGGCCCTGGCCCTGGTGACTCCTCCGTGGGGGCCACAGAGCTCCGACAGCAGGTGAGGGAGAGGGAGCTGGTGGGGTCACACCCGGCTCAGGGGCTCACCGTCCCAGCTGCAGGGAGCCCTGTTCCTGGCAGCTCCTGGCTCGGGGAGGGGCCTTTGGAAAGTTGGTGAATTGAGCCTTAAAGAAACAGACATCGAGGTTGGGGCTGGGTGTAGCGGGTTAAGCCTCCGCCTGTAGTGCTGGCATCCCATATGGCCACCGATTCTGTCCTGGCTGCTCCGCTTCCAATCCAGCTTCCTGCTAATGCACCTGGGAGAGCCCCCTCACCCGCGTGGGAGACCTGGAAGAAGCTCCTGGCTCCTGGCTTCAGATCGGCCCAGCTCCAGCTGTTGCGGCCATCTGGGGAGTGAACCAGTGGACGGAAGACCTCTCTCTCTGTAACTGTGCATTTCAAATAAATAAATCTTTAAAAAGAAGGAAACAGTGTGAATCTGGCCACCGGCCCATGGAGGCTGCCCGCTGCCTAGGAGGGGCTGATGGTGGGGCTGGGGCCTGGCTCCACTCGCCCATTGGTGGTCAGCCCTGACCGCCAGCCCCCACGCTGCTACCACCGCACGGCCAGGCTGGCTGCACAGCCACGCACAGCTCCTCCTGCCCCCCGCCACGTCCTGTCTGAGCCCTCTCTGGCTGCTGTCCCACCCCCCCAAGAGTCGCCAGGACCCCCGGTTCGCCAGGGCAGAGTGCCAGGGGCCCGGAGGGGAAGCAGCCCCAGGCTCACATGGCTCTGGGCCACCTCCTGGCCTGCCAGTCAGGGACGACAGCGCCTTATCCGGGACCATCCCAAGCACGGGCTTGGCGGCCACAGTGCCCACACGGGGGCCCTCACAGCTCACCCCACAGGGAGGTCGGAGGGCAGGGGTTGAGCGGGTCGGTGCCCCCTCGGGGACGCACACCTGGGGCGGTGCTGGGCCCTGGGAAAGGCGCTCTGGGCGCGAGATCTGCCGATCAGGGCTCCTGGGGGCCTGAGAACCACGGGCGGGGGCGGGGGCGGGGGCGGCGCAGTTGCCGATGGGCAGATAAAGTCTCTACTGGAAGCAGTTTCGAAATCAGCCAGTGGGAGGGCGGGCGGCTGGGGCGTGGGAGACCCCTGGGGGCGGCTCCTCCGGCCCCTGCCCACCGA